AGATACTCACTGCCTTTGACCTGTCCTCTCCGCCGGTGGGTCTGCGCCGACAGCGTGGTCAGAGAGGCTCTGGCGAGAGAGCAGAGCGGTCTTCTTCAGAGACAGCCCCCTGCTCGGGGTGACAGTCACACCTCGACACCCCTCCCCTCCGCAGCTCTCCCCGGGCAGCAGCAGCAGCAGCAGCAGCAATAGCAATAGCAGCAGCAGCGCGGCTCAGAGCCGCTCTCGCACCAGCCCCAGCCCGGCTGCGCAGCGCTCAGCACCGGCTCTGCCCGGAGCCCAGCGCATCCCAGCGCATCCCAGCGCATCCCAGCGCATCCCAGCGCATCCCCGCCTCACCCACCTGGCAGCAGAAGCGCAGCTTCTCCCCCCGAGGGGACGGGGGACCGCCGCGCACGGGCGGAGGATGCCAAAGGCTGCCGGGGAGCATCTGGGGGCGGGGAGGGGGGATGCCTGCCAAAGCGCTCGCTCTGSTGGAATAAAGCACCCGCCCGCCTTTGAGGGCTCCTCGGGGCTTCGGGGAAGGGTGCTGCCCTCAGACAGGAGGGGTGGGAGAGTTGCATTAAAGAGCCCGGGTGTCAGCAGGACCGAGGAGGATTTTGACACGAGGCAAAGGAGGACCTTGCTGCTGGGCAGGGGATGACGGAAGGAAAAACCCACCCGGTGGTGTGGCAGACCCTTTGTACCCATGTCCCCTTCTCTCACCCAGTGTGGGCATCTCTGCAGATCCCCTCAGTGCCCTCACCCTAGTGCATGGGCTCCAGTCCCCTTTTTTCCTCCTGCACCCACCTCCTCCTCCCTAGGATGTGTATGGGATGTCCAGTGCACCCCAGTGGTTCTAACAACCTGCCCCATGTCACCAACAGCCCCCCAGCTCTGGGCTCAGCACAGCCACCAGTGACAGCCTCTGGTGTCACACAGGCACTGGTGGGGGTCAYRGGCTCACTGAGGGCTCAGGCCATGGGATCTCCATTGCTTTTTTGATCTTAACAAAGCTGAATAAAAAAACCCCAAGAATTATAAAAAAGTCCTCTACAATTTAACAAGTCATTGCCCTTTCCTTGGAAACTTGGAGTCACCTTCCTCTCTGYTAAACCACTGCTGGCCGTGGCATTCTGTGAGCAGGAAGCATGACTTGAGATAGCACATTATCACCAGGCACCATCCCTGGGGAGAGGCAGAGTCCTGCAAAACCTCCTACRAGAACACAGGGATTAGCAGCACTGCAGCAAAGCTCCCAGCTCTCCATCAGCCTGCATCCCCTCCTTCATGGCTCAGCGTGGCTTGGAAGTGTTTGCCTTGCTCTCATCCTCCCATGGCAAAGCCCAGTCCCCATGACTGGGGTTTATCACATCTCCAGTTATCAGAAGACAAGCACTGAAAAAATGCCGTGGCCAGCAAAACCTCCTCTGAACCACAGTCAAAGGTTGAGGTCTATCCTCTGCCTCTGTTGCCACAGGCTGGTTTGTCCAGGTTAAATAACAGTCAGCTGCAGCCCTTGCCCCAAACCCAAGCCAAATTTAACTTCTAACGTGCCATTTGTGGTTTAATACGTTATTTCCATGCTCCCAGGTTCCCTCTGGGCACCGCAGGGGTCACAAGTGACAAGGTTTTTATAACAGTGCCAAGATATCCCTGAGCTCTCATTCACACCACACACACCGTGGGCTGGAGGAGGTCACTGAAATGTTGAATCAAAAAAGCTCTGGATGATCCTGGTCCATCATTCAGAAACTTCTGAGACTTTGCTGAAGACCCAAACAGATCCAACTCTGATCCACCAACACTGGATGGGACAAATTACTGGATCTTGGGAGTGCTCCCACTCCTCCCCCTCCTTTCACACCAGCTTTATATTTTTCCATCTCACAGCCATCACCAGTATGAGACTCCCAATTCCTATTTCTCCATGAGACTCTTTTTGTGAGCTCAGTRAGATCCTGAATAACACGCAAATTACTCTGAATATCAACAGTTTTTCATTCCCGTTTCCCGGGGCAGGTGTGAGTTAATAGAGARCAAGAATAAGTGAGCTGTTCTGACACAGGCACTAGGGGAAATGTAATTAAATTGAAGATAAAGAGAATTATGGGGTTTTTACAGGGTAATATTTTAGAAAGCTTCTGTGCAGTAGATTTACAGCAAATTCCTTCTAAAACAGCCCTCCTGCTTCCGACCACTCTGTAGCTTCTATTTAAATGTTTTTAATAAAAYAACTCATTTTGATATTGGGCTTTAATCCCATCCAAAAAATTTAAATCGMCCAAAAAAAATTACTCTAAAGCAATTTCCTCCTGACCTGGCAGCAGCAAACACACAAGCAGTGAACACGTGCAGYGTTGGGAGTGTTGGCTGTCACTGTGGAAGGCAGAAGGGAATTTCCCAGCCTGCTCCCTACACATGAATCTTCTCCCTCTCCAGGGTCCTTTGCACCCTCCTTATTATTTTCAATACTTATTCCAGGTGTTTTGATCATTGCTCATTACTCAAACGGTTTTTTATCCAAAAAATTCATCCAGATCAAACAGCTCCACCAGCTTCAGTTGCTCCCAGCTCCTGCCACTCGAGAGAGGCAATTGTGTGGCCTGAAAACAGCTCAGCTGTCCTGACACTTCCTGCAGGAGCAGGAAGGCAGCTCTGGCTGGTGCTCATGTGGTTTTTGCCTCTCCTGGGGCTGGCAGCTGCCCACCCTTCTCTGGAGCTGGCAGATCAGAGCATGCACACACTGACTGGCTGGTTTGGCTGTGGCTTTGCCCTAAATAAACCCCTTCACCTTGACATTTAAGCAGATTTCTCCCTACCCTCTTGCTCCTCTCGCTCCTGTWCTGTGTCCTTGGGGTCTGCTGCCCCTCTGGGGTGCCATTATTTTGTGTTTAACGAGCTGTCAGACCGAGCCTGCTGCTGTTGCTTCCACTTCTCATTTCCATCTTCACAGCTTTGTCATATTTACAGTGATTCCTGCCACACTTTGAACTTCCTTGGGTCGGGTTTGCTTTTCTTTGGGATTTTTTGGGGGTCTATGGCAGCATCTCCCCTTGCTGGTACCGTGCTCCAATGGGCTTATTTGAGGGGTGACCTTTCACAATCTGCTGGTCCAAGAGGATTTTCCCTCATGCAAGAAAAGCACTTCTTCACCCTCCTATGATGCTGGGCACCAACAGCCCACAGGAAAAAACATTCCCTGGTGTGTTTTTATGAGATCCTATTGCCTTTGAGATCTCTCCAGAGGGTGCTCATCAACCTGGCCCAGTGGAAGGTACCCCTGCTCATGGCAGGAGGTTGGAACTCGCTGAGGTTTAAGGTTCCTTCCAATCCAAACCATCCTGGGATTCTGTGTAGGCTCTGTGACTGCAAAATGCCAATCACACGAGGCTGGCTGCCTCCCACGGCAGTCCTGGGAATTCAGGTGAGCTGCAAAGCCTGCCTTAGGCTCAGCCACAAACCTGCAGCCACACTGCTGCAACCCAGGGGKGCTTGGGGCTTTTGCTGGACTACTGGAAGGAGTAAAGTGTCATTTGATCTCCTCCATAGCCATTCCAAATTTATCCAGAATCCAGAATGGTACCTAYAAGGGACTAACCCCAARGGAATTCAGAWTAGTAATTAATGAAGTAATCTCCASAGATTGCTGTTCTCCACCACTGTTTGCATATAAAGCTGGAAGGAAATTACTTGTAACTTGCATCCAACTCTGCTCACTGTGCCAGGCTGCTTTGTTGCCTTGTCTGAAAACACTCTCGGTCCAGCCCAAGGTGACTGCCTTGGAAGGAAGRAATTACGACTGATACAGATCACTTKCTAAGCTACAAATCAAACCAYAYACTTATCTTAATTACAAACAGAACCCCCTTCTAAAAAAAAAGATCTCCAGCAGCACTAGGAAAGATGCACAGATGAAGCTCAGAATGTTTTTAAGGAGTCTTTTTATCTGTTCATCTTAAAACCTCAAATCATTCTCCACGTCAGGCCTGGGAGGGAGGGAATCCTGAAAGGTGAAACAAGGGGAGCCAGTTTCAGGGACAGGTGATGAAACCAAGCAGCTGATTTGGGAAGTCACCTCACACGTGSTAAGCCACCCACAAAGCCAAACTCCCTTTGGAAACAAAAGAATACGCTTAAAAATAAAAATCAGTTACATAAAGTGTGAGCCACAGTTGTGTCCGTGACTTAGCCGGAGACATGGCAGCTATTTAAATCCYCTTCTGTGTCAATGACAAAAGTGTCTCCTGGCCATGTTTGTGGCTCCTGGGCACGGCGATTGCTGCAGCAGAACAGATGCTTCCACTGCGAATGGCTCCTGGCCTGAGCTCCCCGCTCCCTCCCAGATTCCTCCAGGCAGGTAGGACACAAAACCAACAGCAGAGCAGGCCGGGGAGCTCCAGGCTGAGCGGGGCAGGCGGGAATAAAGGGAAGAATTCCCCCTTTAAAGCACTTTATGACGGTTTCCTAATTGTTCTCTGAGGAAAGGCGCTGCCACAGCCAGGAGCAGCTCCTGCCGTGGCTCAGGCTGYGCGCTGGGGAGGATGCTGCGAGCGCGGAGCAGGCAGGCAGAAAGGATCCGAGCTGACACAGAGCTGCTCTGTGCAGCCTTGGAGCCCTCCCAGCTTTCAGCATCGCTGCTGCTGTCAATATGGCAGCGGCTGGGAGCTGGGACGGATCCACCCCAATCCAGCCGGGATCCAGCCGGGATCCAGCCGGGATCCAGCCGGGATCCAGCCGGGCACACGGAGCTCCACGGGCATCCCCTGACACGGATTGTCCGTCCCTCGCACGGTGGGACTGAGCTCGGGTGCTCGGCACAGGTCAGGGAGCGAGGCTTGCTGACAGGGTTAATTTTCTGCCGGGAGATCATCCTTGGTGCTCGCAATCTGCCTGCGTTTTGTGAGCTGAATACTGCAAACGAGCTGTTTATTGAGTGTTAAAAAACAGCCCCGAGACCTCGGGGTTGCGCTCCCAAAGCCATTTATGACGGACAGGGTCGGTCCCAAAGCCATTTACGATGGGCAAGGTCTGTGCTATCGCTGCTATTCCAAAGCTTGCAGGGCATCCAGGTCCCACAGCGAGGATTTCGCGGGGCCATCAGCTGCTCCAGGGACACACAGGGTGCCACGGGGAGGTGACTCCAASCACAGCCAAACACCTGAACACGTGCTTAGCTTTGAACACACCAAGCGGGTATGTGCAGGATGAAATACAAACAGAGTTAGCCACGAGGGTGAGCTGGGATTTCCCTTTCATCTCTGGAGGCTGCTGCTGTAAGCCTTAACTAAAATATAAACGAGGTGAGTGAGACGAGCTCGTCCTCTCTCTCCCGCAGAACGGTGGTTCTTTCATAAAAATGTCTGCTGCTCCCAGCACCGATCTGTGCTCGGGAGAGCGGCTGAAATCAGCGCCCATGTCCTGCCAGGATGAAGAGAGACGCTCCCCGAG